CATAAGTGATAAAAGGTCCCTTCTTTACATTTACATCTCCAGCATTCATTTGAAATATCTTTGTACATTCTAGATAGCTTATTAGGTGTTAAATATCAATGATACATCATTTTATAAAAGTTTTCTTTTAAATTGTAATTCAATGTAAATTTTAAGCTTTACATCCATATATTCTCCGATTGTTCCAGCATCACATTATATCCAAATTTCCTTGCCCACTGTACATACAATGTTTTTATGTTCATTTTCCAAATTCAATTTCAATAGCATTTTATAAACTTCAGCAATAAGTTCATCACTACCTCACAATTATGTTTCAAATTCATTTTTAACGAAGTCAAGCCCATAACTTTTTATCTAGTTTAAATCTCTCTTTCAGTTGTTGATATGTAAACCAACAACAGGCATAACCTTTTGATTCTAACTCTTCTCTCGATTTAAGAGCAGGGTCATCCGAGTTGAAGAGTATTATTTTACCATAAGCCCACCAGTCCAGTTTTGCAACCATTTCTTTTCTAAAAAAAAAAAAAAGATATCCTTTGTCATCAGCATTGAGGAAATGGGCACTGAGTTGAATAAACAAAAGCTATATAATAATTCAGCAAGGTGATTGGGAAAGATAAAGCTATTGCTGTAATGGCGAAACCTGCATGCAAATTGTTGGAAATTTGTATGTTAATTCGTTACTAACCCCAGCTGTATTGTTGGATTTTTCTTTTGATATTTTTAAACCCTAACATTGTAACAAATCCTAGAGAAAAATATTGGATTTAAGTTTCTACTCCCCAGTTCTGTTTCATTAAGTTTAACAATGTTTTCTGGAAATGGTAAAAATAGTTTTTAGCTAAAGACTAAAAACAAAAAATGTTTTTGCTATTTGGCATATCAAAAACTATTGTCATTCATTTCATAGGAATGCAGCCTGCCTTAACTTTAAAAAGACAGTACTCTTTTTATTGAGGTGTCAGCATCAATTCCTTCAATAGTTCAGATGTTTCTCCTCTTACTCTTCATATAAATTTATTTCCTGAAAGAATAGTGCAACTGTTCCTGCTGGAAGAAATGAACAATTGTCTCCTGATGCTTTTCCAATTTGTTATATGAGAAGGCATATAATACAATTGTTATGTAAGTCTTGAATTTTTCAAATGTACAGTGTATATACTAACTAAAAACTTGTGAAAGTCCAGTAAAGGAAAAACTTGTCTATTTAACACTTGCAAAGATTTCACCAAATGAGGTGTCTGGCTAATAATTATTAATATATCAACAGAAAAATGTAATGAAATAAAATTATGCATAGCAATTCCCATAATATTATCTGTACTGAGAAATACATTTCACACGTATCACATTTTAAATATTTTTATTTTTGTAAAAAAAATTTTATACACAAGGGTCATGAAGTCTTTCACAAAAACACACAGCTAACATTGTGGTATTTAACAGATTTAATGGTACAAGGAAAGTGCTGTTATTTTCAAATATATCACATACAGAACATAAAAGGATGTACTTTAATAAAATACAGGATGTATTTTGACATAACTCAAAGACAACTAGAAAAACAAACACCATAACTTAGCAAGGTGTACAGATCAGGTCAACCATGAGAAATGTATTTATTTTACTTGTCTTCTATTTCTACCACATTGTTCAGATGGCTCATAAAATTAATACCTTACAGTAATCAATGCAAATGAGAGACAATTCTTGCAACTTCAAATGTGAGCATCATTTCTTAATAGTATGACAGGCATCTTTTATGATTACACTAGTAAAGCTATTGTTGTTGTTGTTGTTAATTGCAAAGTCGTGTCCGACCCATCGCGACCCCATGGACAACGTTCCTCCAGGTCTTCCTGTCCTCTGCCATCTTCTGGAGTCCATTTAAATTCATGCCTACTGCTTCAGTGACTCCATCCAGCCATCTCATTCTCTGTCGTCCCCTTCTTCTATTGCCCTCAATCTTTCCCAGCATTAGGCTCTTCTCCAGTGAATCCTTCCTTCTCATTAGGTGGCCAAAGTACTTGAGTTTCAAAGTAAAGCTTATATTCAGATTTAAATCATCTGGACTGTACTACAAAAGAATACAGAAAGAAATCCTCATAAGAATAATTACATGGTACTAATCAAAACAGTATGAAAAAATATATTACTCTAACCTTTCTGCAATCTAATTGGTCAATCGCCTTTTGGTGTAACAATTATTTTAGTGCTGTACCCAAAGAATCTCAGAATTGGAATTAGTGGTTGCAAAATTTAGCAACTGTTGCTATATTCAGAAGTTAAACTTACAAAGACATTAGGAGAGAGAGAACTGGCCATTTAATAACCAAAATTATTGTCTATTATTGAAAAAAATATTGTCCATGTTTAAGATGTAAATTAAAATACAATCAATTAAAACCTTTCAGACATGCCCAAATAAAATATACTGCAAATATTTAAGCATTTAATGATTTTCTATTTCCACTGTTAATTTTGCTTGATGTGTTTGATAAACCAACAAATAATTAATATTTATCCATTATAAGTCTAGTCTTCACTGACAAAAATAGTGCTGTTATCTGAATTCCAACTTATATAATCCTCTTTTAGCATTCCAGCTGTAGGTCTAAAATAGTAAGTTGCACCCCACTCATAAAATACTACAACTACTACTACAGTGTATAGTCATTTATCAGATGAAGATTTCTTAAATTATAATTTCAGAATTCAATAGAGAGAATAAAAGGGAAACAATTAAAAGGATAAGTGCAAAAATATTCTTTTTCATCATACTGATAGAATTCCTTACTCTAATTTCTGTTCTAATTGCTGTATACAGAAATACTTTTCCTAAACTATTCATCTTTTTATGCATATTCAGTTGCACATTACAATTCAATATATCTGCCTCACTGAGTGCAGTGTTTATTAAAAGTCCCACTACATGAAACTGTTCATTTATAGAAGTAGTTGAATTACTTGCAGCATTATGCCACATCAAATAGTATGTGCCTCTATCCCTCTTTAAATGAAGACTTGAAACAACTGCAGGAACTGCAGTGATCATCTCCATGCTCATATTTTTATTGGGAATGAATACAAATTAAGAAATAAGACTGGAATAGATTACTATATTTTTCAGATGTTAGAGAACTATTATTAGAGTAACACACAAATTCATAGTCAAAACATAGTTTATGCAATTAGTGCACATTTTAAAAAATATTATATACCATTAAAGTTGCACTGCAAATGATTATCATCAATGCTCTGGCATCCTCAGCAAATATTCAAAACTTCATTCCACCAAAAGCTGTACACTATCAGTCTGTTTCTGTGGTTGCTGCTGGTGGTCATATTTCCTTGCTAGAAAATAAATACATTTAGATATTAGGCTGCAATCCGAATGTATTTACTAGAAAGTGATCCACACAGCATCAATAAGGCTTACACCAAATAAACATACATGGTATTGCTTTCTAAATCTTTATTGAGAGATAATTGGTTGAAATAACAAACTGCAGTGTAAGTTTATTAATTTCCAATATAACATTTTGAGCCAAAATTAATCATTTCTCACAACTACCAAATGTACATTTTTAATTACAAAGAGAATTCTGTTGTTCAATACTGAATTATAGTAAATCATAGCCTAAGATCTTCAGCAGTCAGGGGTGTCAAACTCAATTTCATTGAGGGCCGCATCAGCACTGCGGTTGTCCTCGGGGAGCCAGGTAGGTATGGTCAGGGAGGGTGTGGCCTACTGGGTGGGCATGGCTGGAGTGGGTGTGGCCTACTGGGTGGGCATGGCCAGCTCTTTATCATTCGCATCAAGGTTGTCTGTGGGGGCCTGGACAGGAGTGGGACAGATCTGAAGGTCTCTGGCAGAAGGGGGTGGGCCTGGGGCAAATGCCAAGGCATGGTCCACTGGAAGAGCCTCACTGTTCCTCTCAGGCCATGCAAGGGGGGGCTGGATGGTGCTGCGGGCTTCCCGGAGCCCTGGGCAGCAGAGATCAAACACACAGCCTGGCCCTCAAGCACCCACGGCACCAAGCCCAGCCCCACTTCCCCAAGGGGGCACCCAGCTGCACTTACCTCCTCCTCAAGGCTGCTGCTGCTGTGCTTGCTCTCCTTAGTCAGGTTGCTCATGATGGGTATGAGGGCAAAGTCAGAGGGAGGCCCACTCCCTCTCCATGGGAGGAGATCCGGCTTTGTATCCAAAGCTTCCTTAGCAATAGGATGGAGATCCCCAGGATAGGCCAGGAGAAGGGGGCAAGGGGATGGTGAAAGGGCAGCAGGACAGGACTAAGGCAGGATTTCCCTCAGACCCACCCTCCCTCCCTCCCTCCCTCCCTTCCTTCCTAAGAACAGACTGGTGGAAAAATATGAGGGAGAAAAACAGGCAAGAAACGCAGCTGGGGAGGTATCACCCTTCATGGGGAATGAAGAAATGCACCATCGCCTGGAAGTGGCCAGCACATAGCCCTCGCCTACTTCACATATCTGGCTTGGTGGGCTTTGGGGGAGGGGACACCTTGAGCAACGTGAGAGTCGACACTACCTGCACAATGCCATCCAGCCCCCAGCCTGCCCGGTTTTGGCAGGCAGCGGGACACTCTCCTCACAACGCTGAGAGGCTGAGCCAGGCAGTGCGAAGCTCGCTAGCTTTGCATCTTGCTGCCTGCTGAAATCGGATAGCGGTGAGCTTCTTTTTGGATTCACGCCGCCTGCATCAGCCTCGCGGCGCTGTGAGGACAGCGCCCCACTGCCTGCTGAAACCCCTCCCCCAGAGCCCATCAAGCCGGATATGTGAAGTAGGCGAGGGCCATTTGCGGGCCATTTCCAGGCGATGGTGCATTTATTCATTCCTCACAAAGGGTGACACCTCCCCAGCGCGCACCCAGGGAACAGGGCCAATGCAGCAGGGACCGGTCCCTTGCTGTTTCCAGACAGCCTCGTGGAACTAAGACTGAACACTTTTCAGCATAGATGGCCACCAAAAAATTGTACATTGACTCCTGGGCGGCCTGGGCCAGGGCCAAGGCAGCAGGGGCCATTCCCTCACTGTTTCCAGGATGTGGGCCACATGAAACCACGTCGCCGGCTGCATCCGGCCCCCAGGCCTTGTGTTTGAGATGTCTGGATTAAGTGAACTGGTCATATCCTTTAATTGCCCTGTTTAAATCAGAAAAAAATATTTCTAGACCTTAGTTATATGGAGGCACAGTTAAACTTCCAATTAGCTGTTTAGGACTTGGCTTTATATAAATCTCACTTAACAGAATTACAGGACTGGAAAGACCTTTCAGGTCTTTTAGTCCAACCCCGTTCAAGCAGGAGACCCTGTACCATTTCAGATAAATGGTTGTCCAATCTCTTATTTAAAAATCTCCAGTGATGGAACACCTATATTTCCTGAAAGCTAACAGTTTTACTGATTCATTATTTTCACTGTTAGGAAATTTCTCCTTATTTCTAAGTTGGATCTCTCCCTGATTAGTTTCCATCCATTGCTTCTTATCCTGCCTTAAGGTACTTTTGAGAATAGTTGACCCTGTCTTCTTTGTGGCAGCCTTTAGATATTGGAACACTAGTATCATGTTACCCTTAGTCCTTCTTTTCATTAGACTAGACATATCCAATTTCTGCAACTGTTCTTCATATGTTTTACCTTGCAGTCCCTTAAGAGCAGTCTTTGCTGCTCTTCCTTGCACCCTGAAAAAAAAAATAGAAATAAACATCTTTTTTATATTTTGATGACCAAAACTGGATGTAGTATTCCATGTGTGATCTTACTAAGGCTTTATAAAATGATATTAACACTTCACATGATCTTGATTCTATCTTTTTGTTAATGCAGCATAGAACTGTTTTGGCTTTTTTGGCAGCTGCAGCACACTACTGGCTCATATTTAATAATTGTCCACTACAACTCCAAGATCCCTTTCACAGTTACTACTGTTGAGCTAAGTACCACCTATTTTACACTCGTACGTTTGGGTTTTTTTTGTCTAAGTGTAAAACCTTACTTTTCTCACCAATGGATTTCATTTTGCTGGATAAAGCTCAGTGTTCAAGTTTGTTAAGTTCCTTCTAGAACTTGAGCCTATCTTTTGAAGTATTGGCTATTCCTGCCAGCTTAGTGTTGTCTGCAAATTTGATGAGTTCCCCTTCTATTCCCTCATTTAGATCATTTATGAAGACATTGAAGAGTACTGGGTACTGTAGGTACTCTCCTACATACTTTCCTCTATGTAGATATGGGTTCCATTAACAACTACATATTGAGTGTGGTTAGTCAGCCACTTATGAATTCATCTGATGATGTTGTCTAGCTCAATTTTTTCTATATTACAAAAGAGAAGATTGTGGTCTACTTTATCAAATGCCTTACTAAAATCTAAGTAAATGATGTCTACAGCATTGTCAAAAAGTGTAGTAAGTTTTGTCTGATCTATTTTTGACAAAATATAGACTTTTGGTTATAACTTTGTTTGTCTCTAGGTGTTTGCAGATTCATTGCTTATCTTTTTCCAAGATCCTCCCAGCCTTCATTCTAAGCTTTAGTTTTCATCTTTGCAGTTTTGGGTTATCTGTTGATATTCTACCTTAGTTATATGCCCCTCTTTCTACTTTTTATATTTGTCCTTTTATCAGAAAGTTTTTTGTGCAACCAGTAGTATTGTGCTAGATTAAGTTTTTATAATTTCACTTTTTAAAGTTTCCCAAATTTCTTGAATTGTTTTTCCGTAGGGATTTCCATCCCTGGAATCCTTCCCAAGCACTCTTTGTTGAAATCAGCTTTCTTAACGTTCAAGACTCTTTGATTTTGCTCCATTGCCTGAGCTTGCAATAAATTCCAATATTGCATGGCTGCTCGCCCACCCCCAAGTTCCTGTAACTTCAATCCCTTCTATCATTTCATCTCTGTTAATGAGAATTAAGTGCAGTATGGTTGACTCTCTAGTCCCCTTCTCTATCTTTTGGAAGACAAAATTGTGTGCTAGGTTCATCAGGAATACGTTTGGTTTTCCAGTAGGTACAGAGTTTGTCTCCCAGCTGATGTCAGGGTAGTCAAAGTCCCCCATTAATATTGTGGTGTGCAATATTAAGTAGTGGCTAACTACAGGTTAGAAACCAAAAACCAGAGCAAGTTCAAAACACTGAAGGAATATCCAGTTAAACATTCTAGAATAAAATAATAAATATCAGATAAAATCAATATTAAAATCACAGTTTGGTATCCAATCTGTCACACATGAGCAAAACACAACATGGCCTAATTATACCATAATAGCAATCCTTAAACTGTGAGGCTTGCAGTCATTATATACTAAAATGCAAAAGAGTAGTAATGCAAAAGGGTTCGCTGCATTGTATAAAATAGCTCTGATGAATTAATTATGTGTTTCCGACAAATTCCCAGTGCTGCTGCACAGAATCTAACCACCTGCACATAATCACAGTCTGTTCATTCTTAAGCAGCCACTGGAGATAAGTAGTGCTGGAATAGCCAGGATATCTATTGATTATTGGGAGAACATGTTTTTTAATATCTCTATAAAATGAACTTCAAAGGAATGTATGTCCAACTGTTCTCATCTCTCCTGACCCACTTTTTCTGAGCCACAGAATCTTTCAATCAATGGTATCTTTTTATATTTGCCATGCAGGATAGCCAATGGAAGTGCATGGCACCTTGCAAGCAAAAATGCTTTCCAGTGGTAAGTGTGAGATCTTTAAGAATTGTTTTACTGCCATTTCTAGCCTCAGTTTTGTGCATTTTATATGCTAAGGTCTTTCTTGGCTTCTACACAGTCTTTGTCAAACCATGCTTTGGAAGCAATTGCATGGCCTCTTAACTGAGAAACAAGGTCACGTGCTAGTAGTGGTTGTAGCTTATGAATTAGGTCTTTATATAGTTCCAGTAGCTAACTGATTAGCAAACAGTTCTTCTATTTCCTCTCTTTGATTAGTATTCACTAGTAATAGTGTATTACTATATACACTTATGGCAATGTCATTCCTTTTATATTAATCCAAATGGTTTCAAGAAGTTTTTCATCACTGTTGTGTTGCATTTCTATAGAAGTGTAGTTATTTCTTATATATAGTGCAACTCCACCTCCTCTTTTATTAGGTCTGTTTCTTTTGAACAGTTTAAATCCTTCTAGCTATACATTCCAGTCATGAATTTCACCCCACCAAGTTTTGTAATGGTAGTGATGTCACGTCTGCCTTCTATACTAGAATTTCAAATTCATTCTGTTTGTTCCTCATATTTTGAGTATTAGTGTACAGGCATCAGAGTCCTTTATAACTAACGCTGTGTTTATTTTCTACTTCTCCTGTTTTGTGTCTGAGTTCCCCTTTTTAAAAAACATTTGGTTGATTTGAGCTTTGTGCTTGGAATTAGCTTCTAAAAATTTGTCTCCCTCTGCTTCCAGTTTTAGTTTAAAGCCCTATGGATAAGGAAAGGCAATTGGTTTCTAAGCTATTCTTCCCAGTTCTTGTGAGGTGTAACTCATTCCCTGCCAGAAATGAGGTATTGTAGTCCATGGGTGTAAGAATCCAAAGTTCTCTTGATAGCACCATCCCAAATAGTTTGTTTCAAAAGTCCTGCACATCTTCACTAGGTGTGAGAACACCACCTAGGCACTCATTTCTTTGACTTTCATGCCTAGTTGTTCATAGTCTCTTGATATTGTTTTCAAGGTCTTTGTGGTGTCATGGATGGGGAATAGAAAAGGAATAATAATCTGTGGATTTAATTATTTTAATAAGCCCCTCAGTAACATCTTTGATAATTGCTCCTGGGAGACTAACCTCACTAGATCGATTGTTCTTTGTTCTTTCTTTGTTTCCATCATGGGGATCAAAATACCTTGGAAAACAGAACATTTTACTCCATACTGTAATAGGAATAACTAATAGCAATCTCATTCCCTAAGTCTTATTCCTTTTGCAGCCCAAATGGCACAACTGTTACAAAGATAAACAGTTTTGCACATACTTTATCACCATCACTCACAAGTCTCAGAGAGTAATCATTTCCAAAGAGTCCAATGAGTAAGCATACACAAAATGCTAAATACTGGGGGTAGAGATACAGGAGAAATTGAGAATTCTAGAAAAGAACATGGGTAGAACCCTAATTGGGAGGACTAGATATGTCAACGTTTTATGAATATCCAATTCAGGTATTTTCTAGAGATCGTTAGATCTTCTAGAGATCTTTCTGTCTGATGACATTTTAACATCCATTTCTCAGAACCATGTTATAAGGAAGAATACTATCCCAATTCTGCAAATAAACAGAATAGGAAGAAAAGCATGAGAAACACATGAAGATTCAACTGTGCTACTGTGCATTTCTGATCAGTGTAAAATGTAGAGTATGGATCAAGGATCATTAGCAAGCCTGCAATCTAATAGATTTCATTACCTCCATGAGCCATACACATTATAGTTCCATGAGTAGAGGAGCAGAACAATCACAACCCTGGAGCATTAAATATTTTTACATTGAGAATAATAGTAACTTCAAGCTGTGCAAATGTTAGGAGTCAGATTTATGTTTCATTGTATATATTTAGTATCAAATTCCATTTTTTTTTAAAAAATAGGATCTATAGGTTACCCAAACTTTAATAGTCTCAAAGTAAATATATTTTACTTACCAATAGAATACATCTCTAATTGCTGCCGAAAACGGACTTTTTTCATGCTGTCATAAAAATTTGGTTCAGATATTTCTACAGTTGGAGGTAATGTAAAAATCCTCATAATCTTCCTCTTATTTCTGAAACCCAAAAGGAATAAAAAAACATAAGTAATACAAAAGCAGATGTTTCCCTTAATGGTAAATGAAATTAGCAACCTGTCTTAATTTCTACAGCAAAGGAATAGAAATACAATTGGAATTTCAATTAGAAGTGGCAATGATTATCTCCAATTTCCTGAAAAAACAAATGTTACCATCACTGAAAGAAATTAGGCTATGAATGTTTAAATGTCACATAATAGAAAGGCTTCCTGTTCACTGCATTCTAATATCATATTTCATGCAAAGGCCTCTAACAGACATTTATGTCCTGTGAAGAGCCTGTGTGTTCACCTAAATGTAAAATGCATAGGTTCAGTATTTAGATGTTATACTTAGCATGGACATGAAAGCCAGTGTAAATTAGCTGTATCAGCTTGTACAGATCAGTCAGTGTACAGATCAGTCCTGCAAAGTTTTTCAATTACAGCAAGGAAATGTCTGCTTCTTTAACTGATATTCAAATAGCTAGTACCTGAGACTTTTCAAAAGAGTTAATATACAGTAAGTGTTTCAGAAACAGAGTTTGTAAATTAAGAACTATCCAATGCAAATTTCACATGTCCCTAATTGTCCTAAGTCTTTCATGCACACAATTTATTCTTTATTCTAATACTCAGTGAGGGATCAATATTAATTAGATTTTATCAGATTGCAGCTAGATAAGATGAAGTATTTTAAAAATCTGGCTGAAATAGATATTTAACAGCTTATTATTTCATCTTCTTGCCGTTCTGCTTGCAGATGTTTCTGTTATTGATAAAGGTATAGTTTCTTTCAAAGTGATTTTTAACACAATAGCAATAATGATGAGTTTTTATTTTTATGAAGTTTGTTTTTTTTCATATTAGCTAAACCACACTTATCCTAACTTATTGAAAAGGCAATTATTAGCTACTGAAAAAAATAAGGAAAGTTGCAAAACTCTGAACTCTTAGGCAGCAACTAATTCAACAATTGAAAACAGTCATACAATACTCATAATAAACACTTATTGAACATATCTATGAAGATTCTCAATCATCCAGGTCGTGATTGTCCCAATGATGCTTCAGCAGAACTGAAGAAGCTTCTTGGATGAGAAGCAAAATGTCTTCAAGCAAAAACAAAGAAAGTCCTTTTGTGAAAAAGCAACTTTGGGACACTTATTTGAATAAAAACTAGTCATCATCCTCATAAAAATGCACCGATAGAAAGGGGTTGCTTAATACTACATGGTGAGATGTGAAGTGCTGAGACAGAACCAAAATAGGTAGGCATATTCTATGAACAGAACATATTTCTCTCTGACATCCTTTCTTCAAATCCCTAAATAAATAAATACAACTTATTTTATTCACAGAAATTCCTGTTTTGTTGCCACTTCCAGAGCTGTTAAAGTTTGTAACTATTAGCCTAGAAGCTTGGACCTAAATCTCGAGATAACCAATTGCTGATGCAACAGCCAGCATTTGCAAGCCTAGCCATATGACCTGAAAGTTTGTAACGTTATTGCCAGAAACTTTGGCAATATCACAAATTTCCACTAAGATCTATTATCTAGGAATTATCTAGGAAAAGCAGCCCAATACTCGATAAACCGTGAATTAGAAAGCCTAATTTGCCAATCAGAATTCAGCAAAAAGTGGTTTCTCTTGGCCTTCGCATCTACATTGGGCAGAAAAGTGTAATGATCTACCGGGTTAAGACGCTTACGTATTCTTAAACAATCTACAAATAGCAGTTGTAGGAGTCACTTCCTTCCCTATTGAGATTCCCACCTGCGGGCGTACACCAACAGGGCCAAGCTGGCCAGCACCGCCAGTAAGTAAATGTTGGTGGCTTCGTTCCAAGCCTCGTGTACTGAATAGTCCATGGCGGCTACACCACCCCTGCCACTTTCACCCAGCGCCCGGGCACCGGCCATAGAGAATAGAAGAAATCGCCGACCTCCGACCCCAAACAGGAAACGAGACGTGACCTCAGATCCTTCAGACGCTTCCAGATCGAAAACAAAGGCTTAGCTTCCGGGTTGAGTTAACGCCGCTCATTGTGATGAAAACGAAAGCCGAGCGTTCTGGTGGTGTTACTGTGGGCTTTGCGCAATTGCGACCTGGTATTATCATTTTTTTTCTTATCCACCCGGATTGCCTCCCCTGGCATCCCACAGAAGTCTTTTTTAAAAAACAGGCATTGATTTTTCTCGTATCAACTGTTTCCTGCGGGAAAATGGGAGGCTTTGAGTGTTCCAAATGGCAAAATGTCTGAATGGAATGCATAATTTCTGCACACGGAAGCCAGATTTGGACTGGAAAAGGAAACCAATAGCAAATTTGGAGATAAAATTTAAACTTCCCTTTTATCAAGAAGAATGGCCTATATCGGAGAACTTTTATCACGTGTATAGAAACTATTCGTCAGATTTATATACATTTTGTTATTAAAAAGCTATATATATTGTTATTGGGAGGGAACATGGATTGTAGAGGAGATAGTATAACTGCAGGCTAGGGAATTCTTGGAGTGGATCAGTAGTGGGATTCTGCCAGCTCGTACCAGTTTGGCAGAACTAATAGCTAATTTTTTTTGTTGCCCAGGCCCAGAATGGACTTCTGAAAGTGGCATCCACACAGAGAACCGGTTGTTCACACATTTGAATCCCACAACTGGAGTCAAAGACTACACATCTTAAAATTGGGGGCCTAGACAGATAAAACTTTATTGAAGCCTTAGACCAGCAGCTTAAAATAACATTTATTGGTCACATATCATAGTAATGTAGTGCAAAATAAAAACATCCATTAAAGAAAAAGAAAATGGAGAAACAGGATGTGAATACACTAATTGAAGAAAAGGATGTTACAAATTTTACAATAAGTCAATTCCAATTAAGTCCAGTAGCTTCTGACAGCAATTCAAATTGTATTGTTGTCAGACTCACTCAAAGATCCAAACAGGAACCAGAATTTCTCTCACCAAGGAGATTGGTTATGGTCATTAGGCAAAGACTGCATCTTTGTTAAGTGATGTCCTCACACTTTTCCTCTGCCTCAGTCAACTCTGCTTCAACTCTCCCCACTTGCCTGTCCCCCTCCCCCATCACTGCCTTTTTTAATTGTCCTTCACCACCACCTAACCCTGTAAATCTTTCCAAATCCCTTCCTAGCCTAGAATTCTAAATATGTATTTGAGAGTAATGAAAGGTGGATACATGAAATGTGAAATGGTAGGTCTGTTGCAACCCTGAATTTTTTGTTTAACATCAGGCTTTTTTTCAGGCCATCATAAACAGAACTGGGCAAGCAATAAACTAGGATAAAATTTGATTTTAACTCTTGTTTCTTTTTATGGTATCAAAATGTCATGTCCCAAAGGATTTTGCCCACAGTGGACATAATTGATGCGATATGACATTGTGATTACAGCAATAACTTAAATTTGTAGAATGAACTGTCAACCATTGGTTAATAATCCTAATCTAATTTATCTAGTAGAAGAAAAACAAATAGTTGAAAGAAGTAGATGTAATCAATTGGTACATGAAATTCAATGGTGAGCAAAACAATTTGGAGGACAAAAAAGGAACAAAAACCTTTATTTTTGCGTGAAAAAGTGAATCTCATCCAAAAATGCGCTTGAGCCAGTATTTTAGCTAATATAATATTAATATTTGTATGTCACCTCAGAATCAGAATCACAGTCTCTTAGGTGGCCATATAAATTATTTTTTAAAACAAATCCATTTACAACATAAATCAAAATTCTTTCATGGTTGCCATAAATCTCTAGATTTGCCAAACCTACAGCTGTGTATGTAACCATTCAGACTTGATAAAAGTAGAAAGTCCTGTGAACTTAGTATTTGAATTTTATCAATAGCTTTTGGAAGGAAGGCATTTGTTTCTCAGTTGCTAAATTGTCTACCGACATCCACTGTTAACTAATTATTTTAGTTACTAAATAAGTCCTTATTATGTAATTTAATATTTTCTCCTTTGAAAGTATGTAATAATAGTATTCTGAGACATATTCTACTCTTTGTTTAGTTATAATATTTCTTTGGATAGTTCCTTCCAGAAAGGTGTATCTTTTCTCACATATTCAACTTTTGTTTAGAAACTGATAAAAACACATCTGATTTTCAAAGTGTTTGCCAATTCATAAATCCTCTGGATCTGTGGATTTTTCCATTTTATATCCTTTTGCAAATTTCAAGAACTACTGAACAAGAAATCTAAACATTGGGCATCTATTACAGATAGTTCTGGAAGAGTTAATCATACAAAATGTATGTTACCTTTTTAATCATACAAAATGTATGTTACCTTTATCCTATTGAATATGTAGAAATGTATAATCCTTTTGAAAAATTCAAGCTGTTTATTGTTGATAACTATATGACTATTAATATTAATTTTACAAATAATATTTTAAATGTATTTACCTTGAATTATCAAATTGATAATACTTATGCTTTAATAATAAAAATTAGGTTGAACTTTTGCTAGTTTTTAAATGTCCAGCTCTCCCCTTTTCCTTTCTAATAGCTGATATATATTGCTGATCCTATTCTATTTTATTTAACCCATAAATTGTTAACTTCTGAAGGCAATGCATTCATCGTCTACAGTATATACGTTCCTTTTTAATCTGTTCATTTGGCTTATACATCTACTTTTTATCATCTCCTTCCTGGCATTCCTTTCTGTTGTGAACCATGTACATCATTTTTATTAGTTATTCTTTCACTTGTTGAAAACAATTAAAATTTCAAAAATGAGTAAATGTGATATTTGTATCTAATTTCATAGAAACTCTTGTATGTATTTTTGTTCATTTCTTATTTATGGTTTGGCATTCTTTTGCTTACTGGGTGCAGAATCTAACTTTTGTCAGCAATTCCTCTCAACTTAGTGTCATCTGCAAATTTGACAAGATTTTTTTCTGTCTCCTCATCTAGTTTGTTTATGAAGATACTGAAGAGCAATGGGCCCAAACCAGAATATTAAAATACCGCACTGCATGCTTCCCTCTACATAGATGTAGTTCCATTGAGGACTATGTGCTGAGTGCAGTTGGTTAGCCAACTGCAAATCCATCTAGTGCTGTACTGTCTATCCTACATTGTTCTACCTTATCAAGAAGTAGGCTGTTGTTTACTTTATCAAATGCTTTATGGAAGTCTAAGTATGCTATATAGTATGCAGTATAAATATATACTATATGTCAGAATCCAATTATATTTCATCTTTAATTATCAAACATAGAAAACCCCAATTCTGCCTTCTCTGGATTCTGCCATAAGAGGGAGAGAAGGGGGAGAACAAAGGGGCTTTATGGCCCTCACTTCCTTCAGTACACTTCTAAGAAACTGAATGTGTTTATTGCACATCAAAGGAAGACTTTGAATGTAACTAGCATCAAAGAACCTTACCCTGACAAAGGGAGCTAATTACCTTTCATGTAGTTTATCTGAAATCTCTATACAGACGGAAGAAAGAAGCAAAGGGGTGGAATTGTGATGCCTGAAACTATCACTGGAAGGGGGGGTGATTGGGTGGGACTGCTGGGGAACCCCTTAAAACCTTGAATGGGAGAGCTTGGACCCCAAGTCCTGTCTAGCACGCCTGCAACCACTTCTTCTTAATAAAGGATTCCTGTTGGAAGAATTATTCCAAGAGTTCTGTCTTCTTAAGATGCAAAGTGGGGTGGGTCCTTACATTAGACAGGACTTGCAAAATTAATCCACCTGGAAGGGAGACCCTTGCCGGGGGATTTTGCAAAAATTTACCATGTCAGACAATGGAGCAAGAGAGGGGGAAAACTCCCTGGAAAGAGAGCCGCTGACCCAGTTGGAACCTTGCCAGATGTTGGGATCCGAGAGGTCAGATTCCTCGGGAGAAGAAGTGGTGGAGACACGGGACCACAAACCTCGCTGGTCAATGGGCGTTGGAAAGAAAAGTGAGTGGGGAAAGGAATCAAGAAAGGTGACCCTGAGACGGGGGACCAAGCAACCAGAATGGAAGCAGGAGATGGAGAAATCCCTGCACGCAAGTAAAGAGGGAGGAAGCTGGGCACCGTACTCAGACTGGATCCTAGAGAAAGCTATTGACCTGATGAAGAGAACTCTCAGCTTCCTAGGAGAGGAGAATCCTGAGCCCTACGGCCGCCCCAGCTCCTGGAGCCGCAAAGGGAGAGACACCGAGGGGGACGTGGAACCTGCAACCCCGGGGACATCTACTGATCCAGTAGCCCCCACCCCCTACCGGACCACAGATGGCAATCTGGACGGAAGACACTACCACCAACAACGGAGGCACCGATCCATTCCAAGACGTCCACCGTTGGAGGTGAAATTCAAAGGGGAGCCAACACGCTTGGGGTTTTTCCTAACCCAAGTCCTCAGCTACATGGAGGAATATGGGCAGGACATTCCCAGCGACAAAGCCCGCATCCGGATCGTGCAATCTGCCCTGGATGGACCAGCTGCAGATTGGGTAGTGAACTTGCATGACTCCAATGCCCCAGAACTCAGTAACTTCAACCGTTTCATGTCCTCTTTGAGAAGACGATTTGAAGACCCCCTGGCTGATCGCAAAGCCCGTGAAAGGATAAAAACGATGAGGCAAGGCAAACGCCCAGTGGCTGAATATACACAAGAATTCCGGGCCATTGCCAGCAAACTGAATTGGCCAGAAGACATCCTCCTCAGCCATTTCAAAGACGGACTAAACTATGATCTATATGACGCTTGCCTGCCCCGAGGGGACCCACACCAACTTGAGGAATGGTACGTCTTGGCAGAGGAAGCAGAGATCGACATATTGAAGAGGCACCGCCGAGGAAAACAATGGAGCCGCTCCCCGCCTGAGCTGACACACCAACCGGTGAAATCATCGGATACAACCAAGAGGCAAATGGGATGTTTCAAGTGCGGAAGAGAAGGGCATCGAGCTGTAGAATGCCGCTCAAAGGCCCCCCAGCACAACCCAGACAGATCCCCAATCAACAAATCCGGAAAGTCTTCAGCTAAGCCAAAAGAAACGGCCATGAGAATGATGGAAATTGCAGAACCCCCCACTTCTGCTCACCAAGGAGAAAGAACTCCAGCCTACACCACAGGGCCGGTGGATGCCTCAGATGACAGCTCGGAGGGCGAACCCTTGGTAAGTGGATGCATCACACCCATCTTCAAAACAGTGACTATATTAATCCCCCCCATGCCCGAAGCTGTGAAGGTGAAAGCCTTAATAGACTCTGGCTGCACCCGCTGCCTCATTAGCCCAACACTAGTGGGGAATCTGGGCATCCCATCCAGGAGACTGGAACAACCAATCTCATTTGGCCAGTTAGATGGATCCATAGCAGGGGGGGTGCCAGCTACCCTAGCCACTCTACCAATACACCTCTCCCTGGGCAAACATGAAGAGGACATAACGTTTGTGGTGACCCCAGGTATGGAATGCCCAATGATTCTAGGGATGGAATGGTTGAAAAAATGGAACCCCTGGGTAAATTGGAGGATGACAGAAATCAAATTCCCGAAGGGGGACCCTATGGACTTAAAACCCCAAGGGAGGCTACCAGAATCAAGAATAGAAAAAGCATCCATAGGAGAGGAAAAAAGATTAACAGAAATACCAGAGGAATATAGGGACCTTGCTGAAGTCTTCAGTGAGGAGAGGGCGAATGAGCTTCCCCCCCACCGACCCACAGACTGTACCATTGAATTCAAGCCTGGGGCAAAACTCCCGAAGCCCAGATTATACTCCATGAGCCCAAAGGAGAAGGAGGAAATGGAAAGATTTATAAAAAAAAACCTAGAGAGAGGTTTCATTGAGCCAGCCAAGCCTAAAGTGGCTGCCCCGGTCCTTTTTAGAGAGAAGAAGGATGGCTCTTTACGTTTATGCGTGGATTATAGGGCCCTGAATACAATCAGTGAAAGCAACCTATACCCGCTGCCCCTCATGAAAGACATGCTGTCACACCTATCGAAAGGGAAATTTTTTTCTAAACTAGACCTAAGGGAAGCTTACTATCGCGTAAGAATTAAGGAAGGGGACGAATGGAAGACTGCATTTAACTGCCCCATGGGGTGCTATCAATTCAAAGTCTTGCCATTTGGATTACAAGGGGGCCCTGCAGTCTTTATGCAATTAATCAATGACGTTCTAAGGGAGCACCTGTTTAAGGGGGTCCTTGTTTACTTGGACGACATTCTTATCTTTACTGAAACAAAAGAGGAACACGTCAACCTTGTCAGAGCGGTTTTAAAGAAGCTGCGAGCCGCCCACCTATATGCCAAACTCTCAAAATGCGAATTCCACCAGGAAAGGATAGACTACCTAGGCTATCGCATATCCCCACAGGGCATTGAAATGGACCCAGAGAAGGTCAAAGCAGTATTAGATTGGGCGCCACCCCGCACAAGAAAGCAACTACAAAGTTTCCTGGGCTTTGCAAACTTTTACCGCCAATTCATCCCCTCATTTGCCCAGATAGCCTTGCCCCTCACTAACTTACTAAAAACGAAGGGAGCATCCTCAGTAAAACCTAGCCAGCCACTAACATGGACAATGGAGTGCCAAGCAGCGTTTGAGAGACTAAAGAGACTTTTTTCTGCCGAACCAGTACTAAGGCACCCAGACATGGACAAGCCCTTCGTAATACAGGCAGATGCAAGTGATGTGGCAGTGGGGGCTGTGCTATTACAAGAAAATGATGATGCAGTATTGCAACCCTGTGCATATACATCCAAGAAACTCACGGAAACAGAACAGCGCTGGCCCGTATGGGAGAAGGAGGCTTATGGGATACGTTGGGCATTACTCACATGGCGACAGTTCCTGGAAGGCAACAAAATCCCCTTCCAGGTGTGGACTGATCACAAAAATTTAGAAGCCCTGAAAACTTCCAGGAAACTCAATCCCAAACAAGACCGCTGGTCCCAGCATTTTCACCAGTTCCAATTTAAGCTCAAACATTTACCAGGAAGAAAGAACTTCCTGGCAGATGCACTATCTCGCATGCCTCAATATAACAGCGCACGAACCACAGACTCTAGACCAATAATGGCAGAGTCACAACTGGCAGCACCAGTAACCACAAGAACCCAAGCCAAATTAAAACCACAACTGGACAGCCAAACTGGAATTGAATTCAGAAAAAGTTTGGAAACAGATGAATGGTTCCAGAAAAACAAAAATGTGTGCACAATGAGAGACGGGTTGCCTTGGGTAGGGGAAAAGTTATATATACCAAAAACCCAAAGAATCACGTTCATGCAGCTTTG